GGTGGTCAGCAAGCAGGAGGATAAACCGCTGGCCCACGGAGCCGGTGGCGCCCAAAACACCTGGATGTTATTAGCACTGCAGCCACAGACGAATCGCCAGTGTTGTATATCCATACCGCACTTCTTCTTAGGATATGAGGCCATTTTGTTTGATATCGAGGTGGTCGCTCTGCGATTCTCGTGATCTGATAGTTGTCAATTACTCGTCTTTGACAGTCAATGAGACAACGATGGATGATTTAAACAAAAGCATTGGCATCAAAAATCTCAATTGGAACATGCTCACGGGGAGACATAGCCAACTTCCGGTTGCAGCGCCTTAACCGACGGAGCCCCGCAAGGGATGAAAGCACAGTTGTATCTCCACCATAGGCATTTTTGAAGATTGTGACACGATAGACAAACAGGTCGCTTTGCAATAGCCACAATGTGATTGAACTATGAGCAAATTAACGAAATGCACTCACCTCTTGGACAATGATGCGGAAGTTGGGAGAGGAACAAGAGTGGCGTTACCGATTAAACTGCGATATCGCTCCGGAGCACATCTGCCCCGCTGTGACTCAGCCCTCACTAGTGACTGACTAACCACTCCGTAGCATTCTCCGCCAATTGATTGGTCAATTGCTCCGATCTTATAGAAATGTGAATGGCATCATTCTAGGGCTCGAACTAGACCATAAATGGATGGGGTCAATATAGTTGAAAGTGACATAGTTGCTATGAAACTAGCATTGATATGTACAGCCTTTTGTCTGCCCTATTTACGATGCATATGCCATCCTCAGCTGAGAGAACAGATTGCGCCATCTATGCTTCGTCCTCATAATCGAAGATCTTGCCAGGGTTCAATACCAGTGTGGATCGAGGGACTTCTTGATGGAACGCATAATTTCAATCGTGGCTGGGCCAAGCTCCTTTTTCAGTGAATTTTTCTTGCCCAATCCACACCATGTTCACCCTGAAAACTGGTCAGTCATGCTTTCAGGTACAAGTTCAGGTTGCTGATGTCTTACAGTGCAAGAGCCTTCCATTTCCAATGCACGATCAACCATGTCGTATACAACCTTTTCTACTCGCTCCCTTTCTTCTTGAATAGTGCGGTCATATAAGATACTTGCGTGGAAGTTGCCATCTCCAATATGCCAAGGATACTGGCAAAGATTCCAGGTCATCGAGTTCTTTCTTGGAGATTTCTACTATAATTAGCTAAAATCCAGGTATTGGGTTTTAAAAAGCATACCAATAATGTCTGGCAATCTAGAGATCGGTACCGAAACGTCGGTTGACCACACTTCGGATCTCGCTCTCTTAGTGCCAGCATACTCCAGAGCGATTGTTTTCGCGCAGACCATAAATCATGTGCTTCTCGCTCGTCTCTTGCAAATTCGAACGAGCTTGCGTTGTTGTTCTTTGCTAGTGCTTTAGTCAGGTTAATACTATCCGCGACCCGGCCTTGGTGCCGGAGAACTTGAAGAATAGAGTGGGCAATTTCTTCCATGTTCTTCCAGTTCCTCCGGCGCGGTTGATGACATCCATCTGTATCTCATCAAGAATCTCCATACCTGTACTTGAATGCCTTTCGAACAAGCTGCATGGCAGTGGATGCCGCATCACGTACAGTGGGGAAGGTCACCACACCGACACGAGTCTGCTCTGGAATTGGCGTCAATTTCAGAGTCGCTTCAGTCACAATACCAAGTGTTCCTTCAGACCCAACAAACATGCCTGTCAGGTTATACCCGGCTGAAGTTTTGCGTGGACGGCGGCGTGTTTTGATGACACGGCCATCTGCCAGCACGACAGTAAGGTTAATTACCAATCTTTCATGGTCCCGTATCTCACGGCATTGGTTCCACTGCAGTTTGTTCCATCATACCACCTATCATTGCAGACGGTCCAGGGTCAACGGGGAAGAAAGGCCGCTGTCCTTAATCTTCTCATTCAGATCCATCCATTGAATAGACGGTTGACCCTGGACGTCTGCAATGATAGGTGGTATGATTGGAACAAACTGCAGTGGAACCAATGCCGTGAGATACGGGACCATGAAAGATTGGGTAATTAACCTTACTGTCGTGCTGGCAGATGGCCGTGTCATCAAAACACGCCGCCGTCCACGCAAAACTTCAGCCGGGTATAACCTGACAGGCATGTTTGTTGGGTCTGAAGGAACACTTGGTATTGTGACTGAAGCGACTCTGAAATTGACGCAATTCCAGAGCAGACTCGTGTCGGTGTGGTGACCTTCCCCACTGTACGTGATGCGGCATCCACTGCCATGCAGCTTGTTCGAAAAGGCATTCAAGTACAGTGTATGGAGATTCTTGATGAGATACAGATGGATGTCATCAACCGCGCCGGAGGAACTGGAAGAACATGGAAGAAATTGCCCACTCTATTCTTCAAGTTCTCCGGCACCAAGGCCGGGGTCGCGGATAGTATTAACCTGACTAAAGCACTAGCAAAGAACAACAACGCAAGCTCGTTCGAATTTGCAAGAGACGAGCGAGAAGCACATGATTTATGGTCTGCGCGAAACAATCGCTCTGGAGTATGCTGGCACTAAGAGAGCGAGGATCCGAAGTGTGGTCAACCGACGTTTCGGTACCGATCTCTAGATTGCCAGACATTATTGGTATGCTTTTTAAAACCCAATACCTGGATTTTAGCTAATTATAGTAGAAATCTCCAAGAAAGAACTCGATGACCTGGGAATCTTTGCCAGTATCCTTGGGCATATTGGAGATGGCAACTTCCACGCAAGTATCTTATATGACCGCACTATTCAAGAAGAAAGGGAGCGAGTAGAAAAGGTTGTATACGACATGGTTGATCGTGCATTGGAAATGGAAGGCTCTTGCACTGTAAGACATCAGCAACCTGAACTTGTACCTGAAAGCATGACTGACCAGTTTTCAGGGTGAACATGGTGTGGGATTGGGCAAGAAAAATTCACTGAAAAAGGAGCTTGGCCCAGCCACGATTGAAATTATGCGTTCCATCAAGAAGTCCCTCGATCCACACTGGTTATTGAACCCTGGCAAGATCTTCGATTATGAGGACGAAGCATAGATGGCGCAATCTGTTCTCTCAGCTGAGGATGGCATATGCATCGTAAATAGGGCAGACAAAAGGCTGTACATATCAATGGCTAGTTTCATAGCAACTATGTCACTTTCAACTATATTGACCCCATCCATTTATGGTCTAGTTCGAGGCCCTAGAATGATGCCATTCACATTTCTATAAGATCGGAGCAATTGACCAATCAAATTGGCGGAGAATGCTACGGAGTGGTTAGTCAGTCACTAGTGAGGGCTGAGTCACAGCGGGGCAGATGTGCTCCGGAGCGATATCGCAGTTTTAATCGGTAACGCCACTCTTGTTCCTCTCCAACTTCCGCATCATTGTCCAAGAGGTGAGTGCATTTCGTTTAATTTGCTCATAGTTCAATCACATTGTGGCTATTGCAAAGCGACCTGTTTGTCTATCGTGTCACAATCTTCAAAAATGCCTATGGTGGAGATACAACTGTGCTTTCATCCCTTGCGGGGCTCCGTCGGTTAAGGCGCTGCAACCGGAAGTTGGCTATGTCTCCCCGTGAGCATGTTCCAATTGAGATTTTTGATGCCAATGCTTTTGTTTAAATCATCCATCGTTGTCTCATTGACTGTCAAAGACGAGTAATTGACAACTATCAGATCACGAGAATCGCAGAGCGACCACCTCGATATCAAACAAAATGGCCTCATATCCTAAGAAGAAGTGCGGTATGGATATACAACACTGGCGATTCGTCTGTGGCTGCAGTGCTAATAACATCCAGGTGTTTTGGGCGCCACCGGCTCCGTGGGCCAGCGGTTTATCCTCCTGCTTGCTGACCACCCTTTCCTGGAGCTGCACGCCGTCGGTGCGTCTGAGCGTTCTGCGGGCAAACAGTACAAGGATGCCGTGAGGTGGAAGCAGTCTACGGCTATGTCGGAGAAGCTTAGCACACTCGTCCTTCGCGACTGCAAGGCTGAACAGTTCGCTGACTGCGATCTCGTCTTCTCTGGACTCAACAGCGACATTGCGGGTGACGTTGGTATGTGGTTCTTTGCCCAGGCGACAATACTACCTGCTGATCACAACTGTTACAGAGATGGAATTCATCAAGGCCGATATCCCCGTTTTCTCGAATGCGAAGAACTACCGCAAGCACCCTCTCGTCCCTCTCGTCGTCCCCACCGTCAACCCCCACCACCTGGACCTCATCCCTCACCAGCGCAAACACTTCGGCCTGAAGAAGGGATTCTTGGTTTGCAACTCCAACTGCGCTGTCATTGGTGTTGTCATCCCGTTCGCTGCCCTGCAGGCCAAGTTTGGACCCGTTGAGGAGGTGGAAGTCTTCACCGAGCAGGCTCTCTCTGGAGCTGGTTACCCGGGTGTTCCCAGCATGGACATCCTGGACAATGTCATTCCTTTCATCAGCGGTGAGGAAGACAAGCTTGAGAACGAAGCCCAGAAGATCTTGGGCTCTTTGAACGCCGATGCTACTGCTTTCGAAGAGCAGTCCGGTCTCCGTGTTGGCGCCACTTGCACTCGTGTTGGAGTCACTGACGGTCACATGGCGTTTGTTTCCTTGCGCTTCAAGAACCGCCCCGCTCCCAGCGCAGAGCAGGTGGCCCAGGCCATGAGGGAGTACCAGTCGGAGGCTCAGAAGCTGGGCGCTCCTTCTGCACCCGCGCAGGCTATCCGGGTGTTCGACGAGCCCGACAGACCCCAGCCTAGACTGGACCGGGACATCTCCAAGGGTTACACCGTTAGCGTTGGACGGGTGCGCGACGGCAACGAGGGTGGCTATTTCGATCTCCGCTTTGCTGCTCTTTCGCACAACACCGTTATCGGTGCTGCTGGATCGTCCATCCTCAACGCGGAGGTTGCTGTCATCAAGGGCTACATCTAAACGTGTGAAGAGATCTATGGCATATAGCGATTAGACGGCGTCAGATATCCTTTTGTTTCTAGATATTTCAGTTACTAAAAGCAAAAAGCATTGAACAATAGCCCGATACTACTAAAAGAAGCCTAGACCCAGCATTGCTTATGTAAATCATGTGACCCACCAGGCTAGTACTGGTCGGGACTAGTGGGGCTGGCCTAAAGAACGGTACTAGTGCTAGGGCTAAGCCCCGCTGGCACCAGCCGCTAAGCGAAAAATGCAGATGGGCTGGATATCAGCTGCTGAAGTCCTTGTTCCGTCTCCTTCTTTTCCTCGCGACACTTCGACAACTAACCGGTTCAAGTCGACAAAGCAGCCAAGATGCCTCGCGGACCGTGAGTTACACGCCCTACGCTATTCTTATTGCGCGAAGCGAGATCATCGGTGGAATTGCGTTTTCACCGGTTTTTTCCTCGCTACGGCAGAAGAATTGAAGATCTTGAGGAGTTGAATACTAACCACCATGTTCGTACAGTAAGAAGCACCAGAAGCGCCTTAGCGCGCCTTCTCACTGGCTCCTGGACAAGATGTCCGGAACCTACGCCCCCAAGGCCTCCCCCGGTCCTCACAAGCTCCGGGACTGCCTGCCCCTGATCGTCTTCATCCGCAACCGGTACGAGCCATCCAACGATTACGAATGAATCGAAGAGAATATGGGGAATCGGTGGACTGACAGGTTTTTAGTCTCAAGTACGCCCTTAACGGCCGTGAGACCAAGGCGATCATGATGCAGCGTCTGATCAAGGTCGACGGCAAGGTCCGCACCGACCCTACCTACCCCGCTGGTTTCATGGACGTCATCGGCATCGAGAAGACCGGCGAGAACTTCCGTCTCATCTACGACACCAAGGGTCGCTTCACCGTCCACCGCATCCAGGCTGAGGAGGCCGAGTACAAGCTCTGCAAGGTCAAGCGTGTTCAGCTCGGCAAGGGCGGGATCCCATTCTTGGTTACGCACGATGCGAGAACGTGAGTGCATACTCTCTACAAGTTCCGCGTCATTCAGTCGTTGGACCAAGCTTTGGTTGATCGGCGGAGGACGACAGAACTAGAATCGCAGTTCTTTGCTGGAACACAGTAAGGAGCCGCAACGTGAGAACAAAGCGTGCTAACAAGGGCTTTTCTTATAGCATCCGTTACCCCGACCCCGCCATCAAGGTTAACGACACCGTGAAGATCGACATTGCCACTGGCAAGATCGCCGACTTCGTCAAGTTCGACACTGGTGTTGTCGCCATGGCCACCGGTGGTCGTAACATGGGTCGTGTCGGTGTCGTCACCCACCGTGAGCGCCACGATGGTGGTTTCAACATCGTCCACATCAAGGACGCTATTGACAACACCTTCGCCACCCGTGAGTCCAACGTCTTCGTCATCGGTCAGGACAAGCCCTGGATCTCCCTGCCCAAGGGCAAGGGTGTCAAGCTCTCCATCGCCGAGGAGCGTGACCGCCGCCGTGCCCTCCAGTAGATGTGGCATGGTAAGTGATGTAGGCTGCCGGAAAAATAAAAGCGTTGAAAAATTCCGCTGTGGCGATGACATCTTGTCTTGCTTTGTGGACCTGTATGACGCCGGTTACGATAATTATATGAAGCGTTATCCAGAACAAAAAAAGAGAAAGAATTGTCTACAGGACACAAAGTTACACATGTTAAATACTGTACCGTAGACTTGTACCCTAAAGCAAGGTCAAGATGCCAAGTCTGTCTGCCTGTGATTGTATGATACCATTAATTCTTTACGTCCTTAGTTCATTCCTTTCCTGGAATTTGTAACTGGGCCAGTTGCAGTAGGACATTTCTTATTCTTACCACCTCCAACTTCCCTCGTCCCCCTTTGCTTTGTCTATTTCCCCGACCCATTCACGGAGCTACTCCGCCGGATACTCCCGTGCCACCCCAGCAGATCTATCTAATCCATGGTAAGACTCGCGCAGATGCTACTAGTTATCTGGACGGCCCATCGCCTCGAGTCCACCCTGTCGTGACCTCTTACAGGGATGCTACGGTGCCGGGGACAACAGGGTGGGATGGTAGATGCAAACCATTCATGGGTCCTGGGAAAAAGTTTACGTCTCACATCCCAAGGCGGGAGTCAACCGATCCAAAAGGGAAGCTGCACTTGGAGATGAATGAACAGTGGCTGGAGCAGTTGGCCGAAGTCGACCTGGTGCAGTGTCGACCCATCGGACTATGAGGAATTGCGAGTCTTGGGGGGTCTCCTGTGCTGCCTTGGTTTCATTGAAATCAGCCAACCGAACATCTCCTTTAGCCCATCTACTCTGTACAAGGCTACAAGTAGGAATGTAACACGTCAACTGGGCTGCTGCAGGTCAATATGGATCTTCTCCTCATCTTTCTCCTCTCCTCTTTTTCTCTTCCCCTCCTCTCCCTATCAACCGTGGAGGGTAGTGGATTAGGAGGGATTTAGCGAGAAGAGACGGGACCTAGAATGGGAGAACAAAAAATAAAAATTAAAAATAAAAAATAAAAATAAATGTGAGTTGTTGCGTGGGATGACGAGACGATGGAGTATTCGACGGACAGACTAATATCTTAGTTCTTGGTTGCTGATGCCGGTGCAGATTGCAGATGCCGCTCTAGTCGCACTGATGGGATGGGATGATAAGAGAGGAATTGATTCATCTGGATACATCCTCCTGCCGGCGCCCCTTTGGCCCGATTCCTCCCCTCGATCCTCGGCATATCAGAGGAAGCGCCAAACTAATCGGGTGCTGACCATGCAGACTTAGCCACCATGTCGCATGGGTTAGTTTGCGTTAAGTCAACTGACAAGTCATCTTGACCTAGTCGATCTCACTGTGATTGATAATTGATATTCGACCATCGCCGTGGTCGGACTTTCCTTCGATCCACGCCTTCTGGCGCTCGGGATGGTTCGGTTAAGCTCAAGAAAACAGGCTCAAGGGGAGGCGGGGGGGGGGGGGGGGGGGAGAGATGGGGTTGCGATCCATCACTTGCGGGTTGCGTCTTTGCTTGAATGTTTTCTTTTTCCACCTCCGTATCTTATTCCCCTCTGTCCACCTTCTCCGCTCTCTTTTCCTTCTTTGTCTGGGAAAGGCTTGCCCACCATCTTCCGTTTGTGGATGGAGGTGCCTTAGGTTCTTGGATGTCTCTCGGCCATGTCAGGCAGGATACCGGCAGGATTCGTCCGAGGGATCGAGGCGGCACGATCATCGAGGGAAAGGTGGCATCGCACACACTTGTATCACAGTGTCCGTTGCTCAGTCCAAGGGTATTCACATATTGCTACCTCCGCGAGCCCTGGAAAAGCAGAAGATGCTCGGCAGTGGTCTTCTCTCCGTTTGGTAGATGAGTACGAAGGTTATATACCTACCTGGCCTGTGAGCGAGGCTTTCGAGATGTTTGTCTCAAGCCACGGTGACATAGCCCACCCGTTAACTCGCTTCTACACACACGCACTCGTCCACGCACACCATACATACTTCCTTAGCCTCCGAGCCAGGCTCATGCATGCTGCACGTCCGGAACCAATCCGGGTCTAGCTGGCCACGTCTATCTGGATGGACAGGTCGCTGTCCGGGAATGGTGACCAAGCTATTATTCTTCTCACATAATGATCAACTATAGGCTCTGGCTGTAAGCAGCCCCCACGCATCTGCACGGCAGATGACTTGTGAAAGCGATTGTTTTCGCACGACGTCACGTCACAACATGCGGGAAACACAAAAGAACACTCATGTAGGTATGTATGTAGACATCATATGTAAGCGGGCGGCCGTGTTGGAGACGGGAGACCAGGCAACCGAGTGACAACATGGCTACGGACTACGAGTGGTGGTTATCTAGGGTTTGGCAAGGTCTTGACAACCGTTGCGCTCTTGCAGAAGGACTCCTCCCGCCTACATACAAGCCCAGTCAGCCACCCATCAATAGTTGTCGCTTGCCATGGCTGTGGCTATCCGCTCCGAGTCTGGACCTTCCGGGCCGTGCAAGTAAGTACAGGGGCGTTGAGGTTCCAGGTCACCCTCTCTGCATGCGACAGCTCAACGACACAGCCCTGTCTTTGCAGGATGGTAACCATACTGGCCTAGACGTAGAATCTGGCGAGGAAGCAAAAGTGGTGACTCGTGACACAGGATGGAGGGAAGGAAGAAAGCTTCAAGTCATTCGCTTCTTGGACATCCCTTCTCTCCTCCAAGGGACGCCCCGTGGCCGCGAAAACGGCGGCGGAATGAGCGGGTCTCGACAACGGGGGCCATCACGGAATACATTGACCGGAGTACTCCGGTCCAAAGTCCAAGATGAAGATGTCTTACTCTTCCTGGGATGCTTGTGAATGGCACAACGTGGAGGAAAGCCGTGTGCAGCGGCGCTGCCGTGGCTATCTGCAACCCGCAACTTCCGGCGTCTGATGATTGCAGCAGAATGATTCGGATGGTTGATGTCTAACTTTTGGTTTCTATTCGGCCTCTTGCTGTGGCCGATCGAGAATATTGCCTCCTCCCATAGTGGATGGAAATACATCTAGTCTGATAATTCGACAGTAAGTTGATGCCGGGCACACCAGGGTTTTCTCCTAAGCGGGGCCCCTGATTCCAACCTCTTGTTGCCCTGCGCCACAATATCTGGCTGGTCTTTGGTAGTCTAGTCTAGTGGATGGAAGTTTCGGGGTGGAGATGCTATGCTCGATCATCGAATCCCGCCATGATTTTCCACCCGAAGGCGAAGTTTAGCTTGTCTTGATAGTTCCCAACCTTCTGGTATCCACGCGTTCCTGAGAGTTAGGATCAATTAAGACACCAGTTACCGTGGAGAAGCAACGAGGAAGAATTTTGAAGGATTTACATTCCTTCCTTCATTAATCGATTGGAATACACCAGACGAACAGAGCAATTGAATTGTTCTTCTTTTTCTCTTGATGGTGGATCCTGCTTGGCGAAAAGACACCCACCGCCACGAGCTCCTCGGCTGCTGCTCGAATCCCCATTGACTCCCATTCTCTTTCTCCAGACTACTACTTACTGCTCTCTCTTCTCTCACTTGCTATTGGAATTATGGTCAATCCTTCCTGGGTGACCGAATCCACATCTGTCTGTCCCCCGGTCTGCGGGACATGCAACGTCGGCTGTTGAGGGTAACACTGGCGTGGACACGTCCGAGGACTGCAGTCTAGCTCTATCTATTCATTCCCCAGTCCGCCGTCGTCATCATTCAACCCTGGGAGGTGGACTGGACTGGAGTTGAGAAGCGTAAAAAAAATAACAGAAAATTGAGGACCAGCCAATGATGATGAACCCGCGAGGTCAATCAGGCCATCTGGGGGCGCTAGAAGGAAGCAGACTCCAATTGTTCGCCCAGAAGCAATGCCCCCGATCGCCATCGCCCCGATCAGCGGCGATACGCTTTTCTGCATTGCACTCGCTTCACCCACTAATTTAGTCGCAGCTGTAGCGAGAGAGGTTGCTAGCCACCCGATCGTTTATTTTTCTTTCTTTTTTTTTTTTCCCAATCTTACACAAGAGATGGATACGACTAGACTATCTACGTACCTAGCAAGCTGGAGATATTCGTGTGCGACCAGCTTTCGACACAGCATTTCTGTCTGGCCAGCTAAGCTAGGAAGCTAGCTACTGTAATGGGTTCCCACAGCGGGATTGGAGGATCAGCCCTTCTTGCTTCGATATCATCATCATCATCATCATCATGACTGTGACAACGATGGCTTTGCTTTACATTGCCTTTTGCCTCTGGCTTACTCTCAGCCGTGCTCCTGGCGCTTGACGAATGTCGCCTCTCGCTCAGGTGCTCCTACTGTAGTCTAGCTACTATTGCTCAGTGGCTCGACTGCCTCGTCTTCTCCCGCGAGGCTGATGTATAGTTGACTTCATTAATATCCTGTCATTGTACACCGCTACGGCTCTGGAACACGAAGAAGATTGATCTCTCTCTCTCTCTTTCACACAGTCTCTTCCTCTGTGTCTGGTCTCATTGCCGATGAGATGCGGTCCCAAGTGAACCTTCCAGAAACCGAAATAGTCCTGCATGACCAGGACCCTCTCGGGGTGCTGTTGTGCACGCACTGTTCCATCTGTTCCCTCTTGCTCCATCCATCTTCTTGACCGCTTCTCTTTCTTCTCTGTAGTGTGTATGATTTCTCTCTCACTCCAATTTCCTTTTTGGATTTTTATCCTTTTTTAATTTATTTTCTTTTCTTGTTCCGTCTTTTTAAATATTCAATTTCAATTTAATTTTATTTTCTTCTCTGAATATTCTTTTTCAATTTTATTTCATTTTTCTTTCTTTTCTTATTTATTTTTAATACCCCTTTCTAGGTTTATCTCATATTTCTATTCCACTCTAGAATACTACCTGTTTGTTCCACTGGCCCGCCGTTGGCTGGCATTCTTTATTATTGTTACTATAATCGGTCCTACTATTGCCAACGGCCCCGATTATTTATGGAGACGACGATTATTGATGCTTGAATCCGGTTTATTATTCACAGCCCATGTGGGGAGGGTCTGCTCGGCTGCTCCTGGACGGGCCCCAAGACCTAACGGTCCTTCCAGGGGCCCGGAGAATGCATTCCTTCCCTTGGCCACCAGTCGAGGATTAAATTATGCGACGGCCAACTGGCTTGATTGGAGTCGTTGGCCCACCGCTAGGCCCTGGCTATGATTTCAGCTCCTGTATCAAAAGGTAATCTCCGTCCCTTTAGCCTATCCTGGCTCCCGGGTCCCAGTGGTTCGGATCTGGATCAGCCCTCGTCTGCCCTTCTTCTTTCTGTCCTGTAATGCGCCACTTGCCGCCATGCTTTCTGGCCGCTCGGATGCCACAGGCAGCAGCAGTAGTAGTAGCAGCAGCAGCAGCAGCAACAGGAGCAGCAGTATGATGCTTCGTTGATGGGAGCTCTCCTCGCCTATCCAGCTGCTCTCCCCGTGAGTTGTCAAACGTGGCAAAAGGTCTTGAAGAACGGAAAGCAGTTTGCATCAGCTGAAGGACGATAAGGTCTATCATCCGTCGTGGCCAGCTTTCTGCAGATTTCTCTGATGGTGCAATGCACGGTGCATTACAATAGAGCTAGCTGTTTGGATTAATCCCCTTATCTGGTTTTCTACTTCTGTTTCTGTTTTGGTCCCTGTTCCCGGTTCATTCAATACACCCTCGTTCAACCTGCCGGAAGCCGGCCGGTGTGCCCTCGTCAACTACCCATTTTTTTTTTTTTTTACCTTCCTTTGGGTACATTTGGGCTCGAGCCCTCTCGTCCTTCCAGTTTCCGTGAGGTTAGTCCCCGGCCTGTTTCATCTGACGTCGTCTATTCCCTGCCCTATATGCCTGATCCTGGGGGGGCGTTCTAGAATGTTGATATCAATACCTGGCATCGGGAAGGGCTTGGTTCTGATCACACATTGGTAGTACATCTACAGGGATAAAAGAACCCCGGGAACAAGGCAACGGTGTCCGCTGCTACTTATTTCGTCATTATGTTGTTCTGTTGCTGAATCGTAGCCTCCTCCAGTGTCAAAAGGGACCGCCCGATCCCCTTCGTCGTTGTTTGAACCAAGGTCCCGCGAGCCATTTTGACTGTTTCTGGCATGTCTGCGTATTCACCTTCGGCCAGCGTGCCGTTCCCAGGCACGGGACAGCCGGCCTACCTGGAACTGTTTCCCTCGGGCGAGGTTCCCCAGACCTTCTTCACGTATCGCTGGTGGGAGGACGAGGCCACCACTGTGTTCTGGGCCTTTGATCCCTATGAGATCAAGCGGGTGATTCGATTCGGACTCTTTCGAGACAGCAACCTCCCGCGGAAGTCTCTTCAGAAACGTGATCCCCAAGCCATTACCGCGTTTCTCTACTCGCTCGTGGAGCCGCACGAGACGGCATTCATCGACAACCTGTCCCATTATCAGAAGGTCGAGGAAATTATTCGACGATGTCAGATCTCCGGTCCTCCACTCGAACCTTGGAGCTGGCTTCCTACCAAGCGGGACAGTGACATGCCCTCGATAGCAATAGCAGAAGCCATCGACACGGAGAGTCATCTGCATTTCACACGGATTTCGTTTGAGGAGCTCGTCCGCTACTTCTTGGGCTACCGAGCACATTCGGTAGAGTGGTTTTTACAACAACATACGGCGCTTTACATCCACTTGCTCAACTATTTGCAAATGTTTCCGGAGGAGCTGGGGAAGTACAAAGAGGTGGAACAGGTACGTGATTGACATTGGCTGATGCTTCGCTACCAAGGTGCTGACTCTGGGACTAGCATCTTCAGACTCGCAGCCCATTTGCCCACCGTGCCGTGAACCGGTGCCTACACGCTTTGAGACAGCCCGTTTCAGCCAGCACACCGTACCCGGGCTTCCAATTCATCGCAGCGCCTATCCAGCAGCTATTCAAGGAGCATCTGCCAAGTCTAAAGGCCGTTCTACTTGAGCTCTCGGTATTGGGGGTACGGTTCACACGAACATACGTCCACGCCCGGGAGATGAACTGGACGAAGCCATTTTCGGTCGAAATTCCCTTGCTTGACGAGCTGGATTTGACGAACCCAGCACCGGCTCTAGACTTCGCCAAGACCACCACCTCCCTCGACGGAGAATACTTCTCTGGGTTGAGTCAGAAGAGCTTCGTGGAGCCAGATGCCATAATCAAGCGACTTCTAGTGCTATGGGAGCTACGAAGTCTGGAAGTGTGGGAATGTTGCACGGGACTACCAGACATGATAGGCTACATTCAGGAAATTGTCGAGGTAGACCACACCCATCCTCTCTGCAGGAGTGCCTAACAAAGAAGCACGTACTGACAACCACAGGCCCTTTACACCTACCGCAATTACCACTCGTCCACGGCGATTCTCAGCGGTCTTTACAAATACAGCACGTCCAACCCGACCTTCACGCACACGGACAGCGCCACCAACCGGATGACACTGACTCCGGTGCTGCCCCCTGCACTAGCGTGCCTGCTGGACCCAAGGGAGAACTTTGTGGCCTACCGACAGGAGTTCCAAACGTCGCCGGGCCTCCCTTTCCTCTTCCCGCACATTAGGGAGTACCAACAGCACGGCCCGCCAGCCCTGCACCAACTGTTCCAGCAATTGCAACGTCAGGCACCCCCCAACTAGACTAGTAGCACACGTGGCGTGGTCTGAGCTTGGGCAATAACAGATGTCATCTAGACGCAATGGATGAATGGCTAGGCAGCAAACAATATGGGGGCAGTAATATGACGCGTACTGGGCAGCAGAGGTAGGATGAGCAGGAAACAGAAGCAAGTAAGCCACTGACTGATTAATATGACGATTTCTTTTTATTCCTTCTTGTCTTGATTCAAATTGGTCTGGTTAATGATGTCTTGTTTTCCTTTTGTCCTGTGATCATTCCCACTTTTTTTCCTTCCTTCTTCCTTTTTGATTTCGGATAATCCCTGTTCTCGTTTCCTTTCTTTCTTTGGGCATGTATTTCTACCACTACTACCACTACTACTCATCAGCATACTGGCAATTCCTTCATTGAAAATTGAAGCTTGGTGCAATGCACTTCCTTTGATTCGAACCGGGGTCATACTTAGGTAACTAAACAACCAGTCATGGATAGATAGGATAGAACAGGATACAGCCAGCCGAAGATTCACAGGGTAGGTACTAGGGGTGAGGGTCTAGACCATTACCAATAGTCTATCTATTCTTGATAAAGAGTTAGTTGGATCTGTTATAGTAAGCTAGGCTAGAAGTAGAAGTTAGTCTGTTAGTAGTTACGGTAGCTTAGATAGATAGATAGGGGAAGGGGTGATGATGATGATGAACTATCGGATAACTCCGAGCGGGTCAAAGAAAGATAATTTAGTTTTGGTTGAAAGGGGTAAGGTTAATCGGTATACTGCCCTTTACTGCGAAGAAGGGTAAATGTCGATCTCAATGTCATATCATCATCTATCGTAGTATGTCCTACTTTGTGTTTAGTTGGTTGTCTAGTGACTATACTTAACAACAACGGCGATTGATAATCCCCGGAGTCCCCGATATCCATCCGTCCATCCCATACTACCTACACTGTTATTGTTATGTACACCCAACAACAACCACCATCCCATCACTTTCACACCAGTAAAAAAAAAAAAAAAAAACCCAAACTCAAAGCCCCTTCCTCTTCACCTTTTCACCACCGCCCACACCCCCCAACCCACCCCTCAGCACCACCACCCTACTCAAAAACAACGCCCCGTAACACCCACATTCCCCCACGTTAACGCATTCCACTCCGCCACATCCACGAACCTCTCCCACCCCATGGACCACCCCGCAGCCAGGATATGAGTGAGATCCGCCACCGCCAAACACACCAGATAGTTTCTGAGGACTTTGGGCTCCGAGGTGCTGTGGATCAGGGCGACGCCGAGCAGCGCCAGCAGGAAGTAGATGTTGGAGAGTTGGTAGGCGAGGGAGAGCGAGGACGGGGTGATGGTTCCAGTGGTGTCGGGGTTGTGGGGGATTTGGGAGAGGATGAAGGAGGAGGCGTCGAGGTGGGGGTAGAGGGAGCCGCCGATTCTGTAGATAGATGGTCAGTTTTGGGTGGTGAAGGGGGATTGGGGGAAAGACGTACAGGGAGATGGGCTCGAAGATGCCGTAGATTAGGTAGGGGATTGGGGGGAATATGCTGGTGGGCATTTTGTTGGAGATGTTGCTAGGTTTGTATGTGGTGTGGTGTGGAAGTTGTATGTATGGGTGAAGAGAGGTGGGAGTAGAGTTACTAGTAGTATATGGAGGAGATGGATAGCTGATTACTGCTTTGGGCATAGTGGGATGATATAGGATGACGGAGTTTGTTGGTTGATGGGGTTGCAGCTAACATTGAACTTATTGAATACTACTGTACAGTATGTATGTACACCGCTATATTCTTGATTGCTGGATTTGGATATTTCGCATTCTGATAACTACTTATACCCTATAAAGAGAAGTTGAATTTGGTAATTGCTTTGATGACTGGAATATTTGGTATGTGATCCATTGGGATAGTGCATGTTACTCTATGTACACTGTTCATCTCACCCATTGCTTTTAACAAACACTTATAATTAGTTGAATATGGTACCATGAGATATATACGGAGTAATAGTTTAATATCTTCAGCTATGCAAGTACTTACCTACGTTGGTTAATAGTCAACAATAACTAACGTTAACTACTCCCAGAGTCGACTCTCTGCTGACTCATCAGCCGCTCACCTGGAATCAAGTTTGATCAATTCATCCTCCATCTGCATCTCTGCTCCCCCCAACTATCATCATCTGTGAAAATGGCAGTGGCATCTCCCTCCTCCTTCTACATGGTGCTCTTCATCCCTCAGTGATCATCCCCTGAATGGGTGTATGGGTGCCCCGCCATGGATTCCAACGGCTCCTATACCCGCTCCTTCGACGAATCCTTGATTCGCGAATTACCCCAGCTTCAGTCTCTCCGCATTGCTCCCCTCCGTCAGCCCGTGTCTCGCCTCTTGGCTGTGCCCTCCCCGCTCGAACCAAATGCCAGTCACGTCCGGGAACCTTCCAGTAACACCAATTCCGGCATCCTCCCTGCCCGCAATGACTCGGCCCAATCTGGAGCCACCGAAGGGGCGGCTGCTCCCCGACCGAAGAAGTCGGATGCCCCTGCGGAGTCCCTCCCCAGCCTGGAGGCGCCTCCCCGGCCAATTCTCCCGGCTTTTGTCAATCTCCGCGCTCTAGAACGATACCCCTACTCTTCGTTCGATGATGACACCCTTCACTTCCGCAAGCGCAGGCGTTTGGGCGGTCAGGCGGAGACGTTCAGTGAACACCTGCAGTTGCCTATTCCTCAGGCACAAAAGGAGCAGCGTCCGCCGCCCTTCGGCCCTTTTGCTATTCTCAATGGTCTCAATGAGCCACCTCCAAATGCGGCCTTGCTTCCTCCAATTGAACCCGGCTCGATCACACAGCTACTGACCAAACCGTCCCGAGGCAGCGAGGCTGTGGAGCCGGGCTTACTCACTGCTAATGCTGCAGATAGTCAGATTGCGGAGCGACGAGAAGGTCGCATCGAGGAGATCCTTGATTCTCCGGTCGACAAAGCGGCGGACGGTGATATCGCCAGCGGACTGCTGGACGATGTCGCTGCAGCGGAACGGACACGAACCGAGAAGACAGACACTGAGACTGACAATAAAGACGCCTCCGCGGAGGACAATACCGAACCTCTGTCGCCTAAAACGCGGGGCCGGTCCCGCAAGAACCTTCGTAAGTGGACCGAGGAAGAGACGACTGCTCTGCTGCGCGGGGTGGTCAAGTGCGGCATCGGCAACTGGACGGCGATTCTGGCCCAGCCGGAGTTGAAGTTCAACAAGCGTAGCGCATCCAATCTGAAAGATAGGTATGGTATAGCCATGTGGACGTGGAGGAGACACTGGATGCCAACTAAGTTAAATTAGGTTTCGTGTGTGTTGCCCCTGGGCATATCGGTGAGTTGAATGAGACTGTCGATTGTGCACATCTAATCTATCAAGGGCCGCGGATCCCAATGAAGCCACCAAGCAGCTGCATGACACGCTCGCGAACGCCCTTTCGCGAGCCGAAACCGAAGGGACCGACGGACAAGCGGGGAAGATCCATCTCCCACACCCGCGGGGGGCTAATACGGAGGCCAGTGGCGCTGCGGCGAATGAGCCCAGCAGCTCCAAGGATGCTGATTCGAAAGGCAGCAAGGCTAAGAACAGCACCTTGTCTAAGACTACCCCTACGCTCTCTAGTAGATCCAAATCCACGCTGGCGTCCCTGGGCATCCCCGAGCCGCACTTTACGATGAAGTCGCGGCGTCGCTCACGCCGCCCGTTTACCGTGGTCGAGGACGAAGCGCTGCTGAAAGGCTATGCCGTGCATGGCTTCCAGTGGACGCTGATCCAGCAGGACAAGCGATTGAATCTGAGCCATCGCCGGGCCACGGATCTGCGAGACCGATTTCGGACCAAATTCCCGCACGCCTACCGGGACGGAGGATCCGTGAGCGGACGATTACCAGGAGGAAATCCTGACCCTGGAAAGCAGCATACTGCACGGGGATCTGCTCGCGGGCAGGCGGAGAGCGGCAATGCGCGCGGGCCAATTGATCCAGCGCTGTCGCCTCCAGCCCCGCCACAGGGACTCCACGAGAGCACGAGCAGTGCGGGAGTATTTTCGTTTGCGATGGACGAGAATTCGGGGGTGGATGCGACGTGGGCAGATAATACGTTGGCGCCGATGTGGGATGAGCTTGCATAGTGAGCTGCATAGCGAGCTTCATAGATAAGCGCTTTAAAGCTAGTGTGGTTGCATTTAAACAGTCAGTAGACAGTGTTACCGACTAATTGTAGGCAGAGCAGCAAAGTAGATTGCATGGGAGTGGAGTAGTGTGAAGATGCTCAGGATGATAACAGCTTTTATGCTAAGATCAGACAGGCATGAATGACAGAACAAACACTGATTGCAAAAAGGACAACAGAACGCTAGTTACATGATATCCGCCAGACAAGGACAGAATGAAAAAATGAACAGACGAATACTACCTTACCTGAACCCGCAATTGCCAATGATTTCCCTCCCACCATACCATACCATATCCCCTCCCTCATTCATTCTCCCATACCCATACCATATCCCCTCCATACCCCCAACCCAACTCACCCCTCTAAATCCCTCCCCCACAGTACGAAGTACGTATCAATCTACCACGCATTCCGATCCCAATTCGGATCTACAAACACCAACCAGTTAGCCCACAATAACCCACACATAATAATATACTCCACCTCCCTCTCCTCGAGGGAATAAACTGAAAAGAAGGAAGGAAAAAAAACTACCTTGCACAAAACTCGCCAACACCTTACTCCCCGTCTGCAACAACGGATGACCCGCCACAATCTGCAAGAATCTCTGCAACCCCTCCCGTCGATGCTCAATCACATCATCACTGAACCGATTCGTGAATACCTTCCCCGGTAGCGGCGGGATCGTGACCCTCGTGGACTCCCGCTCGAGTATATCCCGGAAGTACTCGAAATCGGAGTATCGGCGCCTTACGACGGAATGTTTCAATTTGAAGGCGGGGATGTTGGTGCGGCAGACGATTTCGTAGGAGGTGTACATGTTGCGAGAAGTGCCGTGCGTTTGGGGGTTTCGGACCTATTGTTTTTGTTTCCATTTCATGGGTTAGATAGATGTGGTTGTGGTGGGGGAAGGAGGAAATAGAGGAGGGGGGAGGGGGGGGGGAAGGGGTTTGTTACTTCTATCTCGAGGAAGTTCTCCGGAGGGCCGTAAATCTCCTCGAAGGTTTGTTGGCGGGATTCGGGAACGGCTTGCATCTTGCTCTTTAAACTTTTTTCCCTTCGGGGGAGGTGGGGGATTTGGTTTTGGTTATTCGTTGGTGTGTGTTATGTCTGTTAATGTAGAGAGGGTAGTAGTGGATGCGGGGAAGCTCGATGCGTTTTACTTCCAGGGGTGGTAAAGTGGGTGGATTGAACTTGAGGTTGTTATATTCTGCGTATTGGGGAATTTTTTTTTCCGTCGCTGATAGGAATCAATTAGAGACCAAGAGGGTGGGGGTTAATCACCACGATTTCAAGAAAACAGCAGGGGGTGGGTATCTACAATTAAAGAGGAAGGTTGTAGGCAGATGACGATAAGAGGGGCTGGAATTCCCGCCGATCGGGTTTGTCGGTGCATTGTTGCTCCATTCCGCTGTCACTGTCACTGTCACTGTCACTACTTTAGTAACTAGTAGTATTATCTAGAATCTTGTATGCAATGCTATCTGCTTCTTAGTGATAAGTGATATATGATAAGCTAAAACTACCAACCAACTCCTGAACTATACTCAAACTATAACTACATATGCAGACAAAGCAGCAAAACGTAAAACGAAAACAGGTTTCTGCAGACCCTTAATTGTCTAATACACCCTAACAGATAATAAAAAAAACCAATTTCCCCGAACCCGCGCAATGAAACCCAGATATTGATAGAGCAGAGAAATGAAAGATACGAGGAAAGAAAAAGAAAAAGAAAAAGGGAGGTTTACAAGTCAATCAGCGATTACTCCTGGCGACTGCGCTTGGCCCCATGAGGGTTCCATGATCCATCGCCGACACCCTGATTGGGAGGGAAGAAGCCCTGGTTAAAGGCTGGGTTGGGGCCCTGGAATCCACCTTGTCCTGCTTTACATCAGTATACAAGAACACGCCATACACTGCTTTCTGGGACTACTCACCCTGCATCCCCATGTTACCCGCCATACCTCCCATCATCGGGTTCATCGCCCCCGGCATCGCATTCATCCCCATGCCTCCCATCGGGTTCATCCCCGGCATTCCCATCATATTGGGTCCTGCCATGCCACCACCACGACCGCGCATGCCGCCAGGGCCACCGCGCATACCGCCCATCATCCCCCCGCGGTTATTGAAGCCACCGTAGTTTTGCATCCCCATGGGATTACCCTGGAAGCCTCCGCCCACCATCGGCCCTTGGAAGCCACCCATGGGGTTCTGGAAGTTCCGGTTGCCGCCAAAGTTACCACCACCCATGCCGCCGGACATGCCGCCCCGGTTGTTGTATCCACCGCGTCCGCCGCGATAACCGCCGCCGCCGCCGCCCATATTGTTCATGCCACCGCCAAAGTTCATGTTCGGGTTGGGCGAGTTGAAACCGCCGGACATCGAGCGCGCTTGGTTGTCCTTGCGCATCGGCGCATCCTTAGGCAGCGTGCGGAATGGGTTCGGTTGCGGGCTGGTGTAGGTGACCATGTGCTTGCGCGTTTGTCCGCCGGCGCTGAACGACTCGATCTTGTGTTTCGTTGCGGTGGCTGCTTGGAGGGTGGTGAATTCGAGGAACGCTTGTCTATATGTATAATAACATCATGTCAGTGGACTGGAGGTGTCACTACCACCGCTGCTTCCTGCTTCCTGCTTCCTGCTTACCCTTTGCTTTTACCGTTCACTTTGTGTTCGCTGAACGTTACGTCCTTCAGTTCATCCTCGCACTCGGCCTGGCACACCCAGCCGCGGATGTCGTCGTCCGTGGTCCACCAATACAAGTCCGATATGAGCAGAGCAGGAGTAGCATCAGGGTCTGTCGGGCGATCATCATGCTCCTTGCGCTTGGTTCCCTGCTGGGGGGCAGGGGTCTCCTTGGCCGCGGATTGTGGGTTGGCGGAGCCCGCCTGGGTTACAGGGTCACTATGGGGAGCGCCGCGTTCACTGTCGGGCTTGACGGTGCCGTCGGAGGAGCCGTCGCCTTGGTGGTTGGGGTTCCCATTCTGTTGTTGTTGTTGTGTGGGTTCCGGCGCATCTAGGATAAGCTCTGTGTCATCATGTTTCATCTCATCCTCGGGCCCCTGCTCATTGGCATTGTAGCCACCGCCATCTCCATAGATGTCAATATCGAAGTTATCATCTTCGGTAGCCATGGTGTTTTAGCTTATGATCGGATTTTCTCTCAAGGGAAAACTTGATTTGCTTGCTTGTGATATACAGTCCTCCTTGGATATTGGCTCTTCTTCTTCTTCTTTCTTTCTCTCCTCAAGCTTCAGGATCGATTTGAATTTTCAAGGGAAGTACATGTCTGTAGACACAGGCGGTCAATTAGCAAGGAGGGAATTCTCATCCACTGGATATTTTAGAAAAACAACAACAACAACACAAGCAGGCTTCTGGGATCATTTCCTCCGACTCCGATGGCGGCGGGAAATCCACGGTTTTTGTTCTCAACACTCTGGTTTTCTTTCTTTAAAGCTCACAGGGGGATAAAACACCAGGCGAAATCGGTTGGCAGATGGCAATCGAAACAAAATAAAGGAACATAAAAAAGGCTTGATGATACGTACAATCCGAAGCGAAGACAGCTTCAAAAAGAACAAACACTTGACCAGTTCGTCAATCTGATAGCTCTGAAACGGAGATTCTGGCGCCTTGTTCCAGGACTTTTTTTTTTTCTCTTTTCTTTTCAGTACAGGGAAAGGGTAGTAGAATTGGGTTAAGGGAGAGAGTTGCAGGTAATTTCCACAGAAGATGCGGCGCCGATGATCAGCTGCTGCCGGGACCGGCAGAGCGCTTGTGCTAGAGAACAGGTCCGAGAGATATGAATGAACTTCCAGAGATGAGAGTACAGGAAATGAAAGGAGAAGAAAGAATTATGTTCCAGCAAACAACGTCGGTGAGCGCAGTTAGTTTCCCAAGCTCAGCTCAGCTCTCGCGAGACTGATGTAATTCAGGTTAAGGTCAGGTCCAGTGGTTCACACGTCCAGCTGGAATCCCCTGACTTGACTCGTCGCCGCTAACGCCGGAAGGTGGCGAAAGAAGAGGAGAGAGCGGAGAAGTGAGGAATGCAGAAGGTAAAGAAGAAAGAAGGGATAGGGCTAGGGGAAGATGATGGGGATGGGATGGAAGCGTGGGAAGACGTGTCCGAAGCCAGACTGCGGGTGGAGCGCGATGGGAAGCGGAAGCAGAAGCAAGAGGATGAGGACAAGAGAGAGAGGGAAGGACAGCGGCGATCTCGACCTCAACTCTCCTCCGGCCTTCTCTCGGCTTCGGTTGAACTTCCGCTCCGGACCCCAGATCGTGACGCGTCGGGATGGTGTTGTTTCGAACTCTATTAGGATCGCAAATGATTCACGAATTTTCTTTTTAGCTGTGAACTACTCCATCAGAGATGTGCAGTGTCCTCTGTCTGCTGTGATTGGTCGTGGAGAGCAGTGCTGCTTCTCACGCCGGCCATTTGCTTCTCCGTCCGAGAGAGAGAAAGAGAGACCGTGCTATTCATAGCCCGGCCTAGATTGTTGACTATATGTGATCGCGTTATCGATAAAACCCCCATCCTCGAACGAGCTAATTACATTCTATGACTACTACCTGCTTATCCCAGTCTCTTTGGCATTCCTCAATTATTTTCAGCTAGCCCAGCCAACGCCATGGCGGTCATACAAGTGGAAAAAGAAAGTGGATGCAGTTACCTGCCTGCGTATACGTCCATTCTCATCACCATAACTCATAATGTAACTCATCGTCCAATGTAGATCTTTGGACTGGTCGACTTCGGCTCTGCATCATCTTCTCCCTGAATAAGTTGAATTCCCGAACCGAGTTCAATCGGCTGTCGTAGTTCCCTGCCACCGGTGGATCGCCCTCATCGCTATCCACCCCGTCATTCCAGGTATGCAGTGTGCACGTACCAGTGGACAATCCCCAACCATTCCAGGACGTTGCTACAACCTCAGATTAGCTCAATCATCATCCAACACAACTGCGATATCTTACCTGCCAAGACAGGGCAGTTCGGGTGCCAGCTGGCATCCCGAACGCATGTCTTCCACATCACATCGCTGCGACTGCTACGGATTTCATATGCAGCGGTGAAGATATCCGGATCGCGCGGCCGCGAGTTGGCCGTCGCTTGCCCTACATCAATCGTGCCTGCAAGTGTGGCATCCAGATTATATACATATACCTTACCGTCTTCGCTGCCCGTATACACATATCTCGAGTTGGTGCTGCCCGACGGGGAGAAGTGGCAGCGAATGAGAGTCTTGAGCACGCGGTGGCCCCGGAAAGTTACTACTGAACAGTCATGGGGATGAGGTTCGTAATAGTCGTCGGGATACGGTTCGAATCGATAGTCGAAACCGGTCGTGTATCGATTAACATCAATGGTGTCGAACTTGGCTGTCGTCATCATCTTTCTCAGATCCCAGAGCTTCATCGACTGATCTTTGCCGTTGGATAGTACGTATCGCCCGTCGCCCTTGCTGTCAACATAAGTTAACCCTTCTGTATGACCCATGAACACACCGGCCTCGCGCCCGTCGCCCATCGAGCGTCGGTCCCACACGCGCAGCGTGGTATCGTCCGAGCCCGAATAAAGAATATGGGGAGATGACTTGTCGCCGAAGCAGACAGCGTTCACGTCGTCTTCGTGGTTCTGTAGCCGCAGGACGGACTGGCGCGTTTCTAAATCGTAAACAATAACCGACTGATCGGATGTACCAGCCACGATTTCCCGACCGTCGCCCGAGAATCGAATCGACCAGATCTATACCAGTCAGTTAAAATGAGACGGCCCGCTCTGAAGCGGTCAGTGCATACCCCGAAATGAGAATTGCCATACAGCCCACGCCCGCCTCGCCTTCCTGAAAGCGACGACAAATCCAATATAGCCGGGTCAGAGGAATCCGCTGGATCTGTGGGCGCAAGACAGACCAAATTCCGAATCGAACTGTACGCCAGGAACTTATTGTCCGGACTCAGACTGGCGTCGGTGATAGTCCACTGCCCAAAGGGGTAGTCCACGGTTTTGTAATACTTCCACTCGAACGGATTGGACGTATCGTACATCCTGACCTTGAAGTCCTGAGCGCAGCAGAAGAAGAAATTCCCATCGTCCGAGAACTGTCCAGAGTAGCACCGCGAGTCGAAATGAACGATCTTATCCGCCACCGAGCCCGGAATAAGTCCCTTACAACAGTCAGCCAGAAACAATCGTATTCTCTAGCTGAATGAATCCCACCTGAGTTATCGACTGCATATCCCTCCTCTGCGGCCCCGACACATCCACTCCCAGTTCTCGCCACATGATCTTCGTCGCAAGGGCCTGTTTGCGCCTCTTCAATTTGTCCACATAGTGAGGGTTGGAACCAAAATCGCCAGAACCCATGAGCTGCACTCCCTCTTCGCTTGGTACCTTGGGAAATTGCTGACCTCCCGATCGTCGTGCTCGTCGCCGATAACCGAAGAATCCGAACTCGTAATCTTCTTCTTCTTCGTCGTCCTCTACCACGTTGGCGTCATGTAGTCCGTTATAATGTAAAATATGGCGCAGACCATTCGAAGCCAAAAGGTTCAGTAATCGAGCTGCGGAAACTGCTACAATGAGTGTCCAAAGCCTAAGCAACAGCAGCAGCAACAGCACAGTAAGCAACAAAAAATAATGCGGGAACGCTACCTCTATTGTGCCTTCCCTCGTGACGCTCCTCACCCTGCTGCTCATGATCCGACTCATCCATGGCGAATTCAATATGTATATTACCTAGATGCAATTCCGGGTCTTGAAAAAAGTGTGAGTTCTCAGAATAAAGGCGCTAGCCAAAGAAGAAGTAAATCCAACGCATGCAAGCCAATGTGCCAGTTGTAAAAAGGAGGGGGGGGGAAATCCTACCGAAGCGATGATCATCAGCATCATCAATGTCTTCCTCGTCTTCATACAATTCCGCATCTAGCTCTTCTTCTCTACCATCTGACTCTATTTCATCCGGCTCATAGTCCATATCATCCTCATCCTCGTCCTCTTCCAACCATTCCCTAGCGGGATGCCATACAGTTCCAGAATCTCGGGACGGAGGAGACCCCGGTTGGGCGGGGGGCGAGCCAGACGGCGGCGGCGGAGGAGGACTAGTACTCATGATCGGCCGAAAACGTGAGGGGGGTTGGGAGCAGTCGGTGAATGGGCGACTGGGATCATATCATAGCAGGCTACTAGTACTCTTACTAGTCGGTTAGGGTCTGTCACCCGACTTCCAATAGCAAGGGAGTGTAATTAGTGATAAAAGGACAAGGGGGAGGTGTCGGGGCTGCGTCTTCAATTGGCCGGCAATAAAGATAACTAGTTGTTGCTGGCACCGCTTATCGATACCGGTCGGTTATGTCATCTCGGAGTGCGCGGGCTTGTTAACTCCTATCCCCGATGCCGGGGGCGGATGATGAAAATGGCATAGTTAATTAACATTATTCAGATTATGTATCATTATTCATATTCATATTAGCGAGTCATGAAGCTCGTGTCACATATTAACATACAAATGCAAAGGATATAAACATCCAGTCATGCGGTCGTAAGATTCGTGAATAAAGAAAATATTAAAGTGTACATTCAAGGACAGTAAACCGAAATAGCCTCTACAGAGGCAATAGAGTCACTCAGTCAGGCTCTCGTCTGCGAGCCACGATCCCCTCGTAAAGAGGTTCGAAATATGCGCGGATAGGGGCTTGAAGTATTCCATCTCTTCTTCCGTTGCAGACATGACGCCGGTGATCAAGCTGGAGAATGCGTCCGCTACCACCTCTGTGCCTCGGCTGAACATCACTTCGAAAGATGGGCCCGCATGGATACCTGGTTCAATTACCTGGAGCTCAGTTCCTACCTTGCTAGGCTCGGAAATTTCCGCGGAAGTGTGTGTGGATGAAGCCATCAATGGCTTCCTCTTCATCACAGTGGCACGCAGGATGAGGATCCCGGAGATCACTTGGAGCTTCGTTCGCAGCTGTGAATGTCGTCTAGCTGCGGGTTGGTAACACATCCTTTCCCATGGATAGGGTAGGTAGCGCCGACTAATGGCGGATTCGGTTTGTTTCCCCGAAATGACCTGTCCACCGATACCTAGACCGATGTTTAGCAGACTCATCCATTGGAGGGGAATGGGGCAAGCACCCACAGTACGACAATGACACTGATTTGAGGAGAGCGGCCTCGCAGACGAGCCAAGAGACAAGCATCTGGTCGAAAAATTCTTGCACTGCATTCAGGACACAGAAGGAGAGGATTTCGTACGACTGATATGTGGACTCCACAACAGACAACATATCGAGTGTTTGTTTCAACTCCTTGGTCATCATTAGCTTACTGCTTCCATATCCATGGGCAGCTTCAATTCCTTCTCGTGGTACTTCGGTGTCCAGAAAAGGTAGCGCTTGGCAATATGAAGTGTCCAGACGTATCGGGGAACAAGTCACTTCAGAGCCAGAAGGCGAATCCCGGCCAAGAGAACGAGGGCTGTCCGACTTTACACCCTCATCATTGGAAGCTTCCAAGCCAAGGGTATGGCCACCCGATAATTTTTGAGCTCCTAGATGATAGCATTCTTCAGGTTTTGTATGCCGATCATAATCACCGAGGGACAGAGACTCCAGAGGGTGCTCAGTTGGCGACAGGGAACAATGATCAGCCCGGAGTGGGTGCGCAAGAACACCTATATCACCTTCATCAATTGCCTGCCTGCAGCTCTGCGGTTCTCCGCTTCCTTTGAGGTCTTTCTCAAAAGCGTGGAGCTTGCAGGTACTGTCTGTGCACAAGTGGCACTGGAAGGAGGTCCCCTTTAGACGACGGCACTTATCGCAATCGTCGAAAGTGTGTCCACAGCCTTGACACCGCTTCTCGGAGCGATCTTCAGTCACAGGACGAAAGCTCCGCTTGGGGGTTGGATCCGTGTTACCGGAAGGCCGTGATATATGACGATAAGCTTCGTCGCCCGGGTTTCTTATATTAGTTTTACCAGGTGTTGATGGCGGGCAATCCTCGCCGTGGGAGACCGAGTCGCAGCTTTCGGCTCTCTCTGCCATCTGCATCAGTGCCAAATGCTGGCTTGTGATATTAGATGGAGCGGGAGCTTCCACCGTGTGTGGTACGTCGTTGGAGCAGCAAGACGATGATGGAGCTATATCTGAGACAGCATCAGCTTCACCGGCGGAGTAGCCTGAGGTAGACTCTTCGGCATCTCGGTTTGTAGCGCCCCTGTAGCCAGAGAAACTGTTACCATAATGGCCATTATTCTGACCGGCACCAGTCGAAGAAGATCCCCCATTGTTGCCAGGGTGGAACTGGGGCGGATCAAATTGACCGAAACCACCTCCAGGGAAGAAATTCCCACCGAAGCCAGGTCCGTTATTGCCCCCTCCTCCGCGATCATCGCTGCCCCGTCTACTCTGGCTTGCGCTTGAAGTGGTTGATTCGACTTTCCTGACACGACAATGGTTGGCAACGCACTTGAAGTACTCCGCCCAGCAGTTTACCGTCTGTGGACATAGCCCACATTGGCGTGGTGGTGTCTGTCTAATCGTTTTTCGATCTATTTGCACTCGAGACACGTGGTACTTATGGTGGGTTCTCATGTGTTCATAAATCTTGTCCCGTCTGGGGACTGACCAGGAGCATCGTGGATGTACGCACAGATAGCGAAATTCGGAGTAATGTTTTTCTGAGACGTGACGCCTGAAGCTACTT